TGAAGGTTATTTTTTCATCTTCCATAGATCCCAAATTAGACTATTGAATTGAGTATCAGTAATTCGTAAAATGAATTTTCTTCCATTTCGATATGAAAAATGTTCAAAAATACTTTTTTTCTTAATAAAAGATTTACTACACTTTATAGTTGTATCTGATATAAACATCTCAGTCAAAGAACAAAAATGTGTACAGAATTAATTCAAATTTTCTAGAAACCTCCAAAAACAAAACCAAAGAAATGGCTAGCGAACTATCGATGTCAAAGTCTTGCGAATTGTGTAAACAGTTACGTGTCAGATTTTACATTACAAAAAAAGATTTTATATAGAGTAACTCAAAAGAATCTGTAGCTACCTATCTATTTTTTCGTTCTGAATATAATCGCACTGTCTATTCTCTAGAATCTTGTATAGATCCAGAAAAACAATTTGATTCATTTGTTTCTTTGCCTTTAACATACGAACCTGTTCTGTTGAGAGCGAGGAGGAATTTGTTTTGATACTTTCATCGTGTTTGACTTTCGTTTGATCCTGAATGTCGTTTGAATTAGATTGAGAATCGTCATTATAATGAGTTTTATTGGAAAGTTTACCAGCGAGCATGATGCAGAAACTAATATCTCCTGTATGTTGATTGAATTCATCGTGTAACTCTTTAAATTTGGCAAGGTATTCTTTGTCGTTCCAAGCACGTTTGAAGACACCAGCTGTCATATATTTGGAGATATATACCAGAGATTTTTTAAGAAAGTCGTCAAAATCTTGTAATGCTTGTTCGATTGGTTCATTGAATGTATCGAGGAATTGTTGTTTTTGTAAAAAATTGCTTAATCGATCAATTCGTTTACTCAATCGTAAACATTGATCATCACAATCTTTTATTCGTTTTACTGTTTCTCGAATCTCTTTGGCACTTGTGAAAATCGCCTTGACTAGAGATGGAATACATTTCGAACCCAAATTTATAGCAGCTTTTGAAGCATCGAAAACAGCCTCAGTAGCAACAACAGCCATGTTTTTGTCATATAAAATACAGTGAATATTAAAGTTGACGTTTTTTATGCCAAGGCAATACTGATGAGAGAAGAACTATACAATATGGATTTTTCCCGTTTTTTACAATATTTTTTAATCAGTTCTACTGACAATAAACGCACGAGTCTATAGCGATTGAAACACGTCATTGGAATGATTTCTTTTCATAAAAGTGACTCAATCATTAACTGACGTCAGTCACATAATATAGAAGGTAAGTTGGAAGAAAAAACAACATATACGTCGTTTCTTATTCGTTCGTTTCTTTGTCACTTAAGCAACGTGTTCTTGTATTTTGTCACATATTTTGATTTTGTTTTTGATAATACAAAAAACGAAATAAACGGACACCTTTGCAATAGCATGATAAGAAGTACAAGGTATCTGCAAATGAAAGTTTTAAAAAGCTTATATATTCAATAATCAATTTTCGATATTGCCGTCTGTTGTTGATTTTCTTTGAAATAAAACGATCTAGCAAGTGCAATAACGACTGATTTCCAATATTTTCCAAAGCTTAAAAAAGAATTTCACTGTTGCCTGGAAGGTTACCTGAGAAAACTATGAAATACTGATAAGAAGAGTACGAAATCTTCGATCTTAGAGCACAATTCACTTCAACTCAACTTCATTTGTTGCGTTGATTCAATGTCGTGTACATAATAGATGAATCGACTGCTATCCTGAGGATGATCATACGATAAACTTTCGAAAGAAAACATTCTAAGCAACCAAACAACATTTTTCGACAGTTACTTAAGTTGTCAATAATCAGGTACGTGGAGAATCTTAACAACATAAATAAGTAAAACATATATGTATTGAAAGTATCATGAGAGAAGGTTGTTTTAATAGTGCTATATTCATAACAATATATGATCAGCCGCATATCTGGAATATTAATCATTCTTTTGTTTCAGAATTGTTTTACTCTTTCCTTTTTTTTATAATTTAGGATGTTGGTGGGTGTGGCTACTAGTTAAAATACAGTGAGCCCACATCCATACCCTGGTTTATTGCTTGATGGGATATATTTTTTTAGCAAATAATCTTATTATAATATGAGATCAACAATGAAAGCGTTTAGAAATTTATTTTTTTTAGTGCATGAAGAATGTTTTTGAAAAAAAGAAAGAAAAAGTAACCAAATATACAAAGAACAATATTTAAACAAAAGCTTCATATTATTGTACAATGAGATTCTGATAGAATGCTCTATGAGTTCTTTTACAACAATTGACAATTTTATCGCTTCAAAAGATGTTAAACATCTTTTTCTTTCATTTTTATTCTCTACAAGTTTCTGTTTGTTGAGAATTTTATGCCTTGATCCTTCATAGAAAATAAAAATCAAACTATATTCATAAAATAAAAACAAAAATACTCTTAAATATAACATAATGTTTTTTTCTCCAAAAAAAAGTCTCAATAAACAAACAGTTGAATGCAATTTCTATACAGCATCGATAGCAATTTATTATCTGCTTTGTTTGAATACCTTTGATGATTTTTTTGTTTGTATATTTCTTTTTCTCTAATTCGGTCAAATTACTGAATAAAATCTTGTTCATTAAAGGATGTTTCGAAAATATTACTTCCTATGTCATTAAAACAGCAATACTTTTGCTGATTTTTCAAGGACTGCAAATAATTCATCAATAATGACAGAGTAAGCTTAGTCTACCTTAAGACAAACTTGCATAAAATAATAGTAAAACTATCATTGAAGAACACAACACATCTAATCATAATCTTCATTTTTTTTTCTAACCTATTGAATAACGAAATAAAATCTTCAATATCACCGTTTTGAGAAATTTACTGAAAATGAACGAAAACTCATATTGAAGATACAAAAACGTTTGTATCATTTCAAGATATATATCTTCCTAGCAACACAAAATACAGATTTTGTGACAGCGAAAAATACGCAAAGTATAGAGACCGACTGCAGAAATGCTGCACTTCGAACTACATTCATTAACAGTAAATGAAATGAAGGAGTCAGAAAAACTGAATTATATACATTACAAAAATCGTTTGAGTTTTTTTTATTAGTAGAAGAAAAAATCAAAAAAAAAAACGCATTCAAATTTTTTTATTTATTATGTTTAATGTAACTTTATTTTCTGAACTCTTTTCTAAATTAATTAACTCATCTTGTTCATAAAGCTTTATTTCTATTATAAATCTTATTCTAGAGAATTTCTTAAAACGATCTGATTTGTTTCATATCATTATATTAGATACTATATAATAGAAAATGCTATCCAATATCTTGAAGATAAGTAAGAATGAGATTTAATACGCTGCTTTTCACCTATAATTCATTTCTATCGTTAATAGACTCTAGTTTATAATGCATATCAACCATGTCTTCTTCGTTCTAGATTCAGTCGCACTGATTAATAGATTTATTGGATGACTTATATTTGAATTTATTCAAAAAACTATCAGCACATAAAATTTATTCAAGAGAAAATAGTGGGTGTGGGTGTGGCTTACTCATCCTACAGCCACACACCTGCACCCACATCCACACCCTATTCACCAGAAAAGACTACTATTTAAGTACCTATAGTGATTCTATTGTTTAAATAATTAATGCTATGCCTGAAATTATGCACATCAAAGAGATTACCGTCAGCAGAGAAAAATCGTTTACTTTTCATATTTTCTAATACAATAGAAAAAATATATCAACACGATTTTCATTTTATTGTTGCGCATTGAACGTTTTAAAATCGTTAGTACAGTTTTGTTGCGAATTCTTGTATGACTTCAATAATTCTTATGATACAATCATTTTGTTCGTAATAAAATGCTCATTTGAATCAGAAATATTGCAGAGTAATTCACTATCTGGTTATATCATCAATCTGCCATGATGCAACTTCACCCTTGAGCATGATACGTTCTTCCTCTTGGTCTTTATTAAACATTCTATAATATTTGTTTAATTGTTCTAAATCAGCATCGGCTTTCTTTACGATACTGAGCATTCGTAATAGACGACGATTAATATCTCTCATCAGTAAATTGTGGTGAATGCCACTATATCGACCGTATTTAAACGAATAGATTATTTTGTAGAGTTCAAATGCTTTTCCATAATTTTCAAATGCTGTTTCATATTCTTTTAATTCCTCGTATATAATACCTATACGATGATACAACTTTGCAGTATTGAAATCATCTTTTGGCATGATTTCCAAATAAATTTTCAAGGCCTTTTTGTCAAATGTTAGGGCTACTTCGTACTCGTTGTAGTGATGATGCACATTTGCGATACCCTTGTAACTTTCAGCTAAATCAAGACGTTGTTCGTTTGAGTTACATAGTCGTTCTCGTATTTCTATTGACATCTTGTAATAGAACATTGCCAGATCATAATCTTTCTTCATTTCGTAAACATGACCAAATTTGTGATATGTACTGGCTACATCAACGTTTTGCTCATCACCACAACGTTGTATTTGAATAGTTAAAAGTTGTTCGAACTTCGCCAGTGCTAAATCATAATAACCTTTCTTCAAATATTCAATAGCTAAACGATTGTACGTAACTTCTGATGGATAAACTATGGAAAAAAATTTCATTATACCACGTACGAGCGGATTATCTTCTTCATTCTCTGTACTTTGGCATCTTTCTTTCTTATAACGACCAATCCAACCATATGAAAGAACATGTTTGCTTTGATTAGCGGCAATTCCCATTTCTGACAATAATGATTCAAGATCATCCAATCTAGTTTCTGAGGCGAGCTCTTCTTTCCTATATCGATACAGTTCTTTCAATTGATGTACATTTTTATTGCACAGTTGAAGTTTTAATATATAAATTTGTTTTTCTTCGTCTCGTTTCACATCTAATATACGAAAGACCGTACCCAACATAAACAGTACCTCGTCTTCTTCCTTGCCGAAATCACTCAAATGAGAGATGGATGCATAGGGTTTTAATGATTGTACACTAGTGTCAACTTCAATATCGTAGAGAATGGATTGCCATACATCATTTATATCGTATGCTGACGTAAAGAATAATGCTACATGTTCTTGCCTGCTGGTCGAAAAAACTGAATTAACAGAAATATACTGGCCAAGGGCGTTCTGTAACTGTCGCAGTTCATCTTTAGACATTAATTATCCACGATATACATGAATTATTGGAGAAATAGAAGAAGATTTCTGAATGCTTTGTTCATGTTGCAATTGTCTATATAAATTTTGTATGAAAAATCGATATTTAATTAATGTTTCCCAATCTGCAGTGCGTAACGCTTTATTCAATGTAAAACAAATACATCCATCTTTTGTATACCATTGAATACTATGCTCTGGTGTGTATTTTTGCTGAAACTCATCAAGTCGATCAATTTGTGATTGAGTATGACAATATTTTTCACGAAGATAGGCGGCTAATTCATCTTTGCCGTTCGATACATCTTTTGACCGCAAACGAATAACTATGTCAATGAATAATTGTAGCCAAATAAACGATGCATTTTCTTGTAAATTTGTATGTGATTTCTCTTCACTTGCACGGTAAACATTGATTGATACATGTTGATAATATCGATAGTCTTTAAGAATCTGAGCAATTAAATCATCCAAATGAACGACGACACTCTTGACCTATTACAGAAAGTTGGAAATAATTGACTGAATCACTAACATACTTATATAGATGATTTTATTGCCAGCTTACTTTTTTATACACTTTGGACCATTGCATATGAAATTCTTTGTCACCGCAAAATATATAGATGGCTAATAATTGCGAACAATCATGTATTGGAGGAACTAATTGTTTTCCCATACTTCCTGATACGATTAAAACAACTTTATTAACCATGTGTTGAATATATTCTTGGCATTCAACTGCATTGTCAAACGTAAGAAGCTCATTATTAACAATATTGCTCAGTTCACTTTGTGTTGTTGATCTATCTTTGGCACTTGTGTCTAACCAAATGAGTGTATATGGAGCTGAGGATGATGATTCTGTGATTGGAATAGAGATATCCTGTGAATATTCTTCTGTCATCATACCGTTTATCTAGAATATAAATCCTCAAATTACTCTTCATGTTGGAATACAATATGATAGCACAAAGATTTTTTTTACAAGAAAACTAACTCAAAATGGCATGTATAGATTTTAGTACGTTATAATCCACACAACCTCACTCATTAGCAAATCGAATGCAAGCTTACTGTCAAGGATAGCTACATTTCAAACATATTACTAGATCTTGTATTACCGATTTAGAGAAAAATTAAGCAGCGTATAATTTTATAGACTGCTTGCTTTCTCTTTTGTTCTTTTAGTTATGAACACGTGAAAACACTTTCTTTTATCTGAATAATAACAAACAAAGTATCGCAATACGTCTACATTACTCATTCTCTGATAACGTCACTTATTCTTTGTTTCGTTTACTTGTATTAGTCATAAGTCATTTTTCGCTCGATTATATCAGAAAGAAAAGAAGAAACGAGTGGTGGTAGTTATATACTGAAAAATTATAATTATAGCAAAAACACAACAAAACACTTTTTACTTCTTACATATTCTGCAAGTTATATGAAAAATTAAAGCGTTACAGACGCAATTGTTGGAGGAGGGTGTGGGTGAAGAAAATGCTCGCATACCAGTAGGCACACGCACAACCAAACATACGCTCCAAAGCTGAAAAGCTTGCTCTAAAGGTCCTACGGAAATCAAAGGTCTAATAACGCCTTGCAGTCAGATATAGAAAAACTAATCAAATGAAATAGTATGAGGCCTCATCATGACGTACTGTAAATCGATCAAGCAAAAGTCAATCTTACTGAAGGGAGAAAAATGTTCTTATCTACGATCGGTCTTTCTGATTCACTTTTTTTTATCATTATTTAAAGAGAGTTATCAGAGTTTAAAATGCTGAAAGTAACATATAGAAAAGAAACTGACTACTTAAGCGATTACAAGATGAACGAAGTAATACATCTATAAAGTCTACATAAATCACGAGAAAGTAAGAGAACAAGTAATGCTTGCGTTTGGTAGATACGAGTTAAACATCTATTGAGACAAATGTGAATAGAGGCTCAGAGTTTTAATAATTTGGTAAATAAGCAACGGTCACGAAAATGGGGAAAGCGATGTACACCCCCTCTCAATAATTGAAAATTTTGAACTTTTTAGCTATGAAAAAATAGGAGGTGAATTTTTAATAACTGGAGTATAGGCTGTTGGAGAAAAATAATCTTAGAAGTGAGTTTTCCGGACCCTATTATGTTGCATTCTTAAAAAATTTTCGCTTCACAAATCAGGTTATGTCAGAAAGTTTTCATTAGATGAGTGGCTTGCATTTCGGCTTTCCATATGAAATACATTGTCAAGTCTTTATTCAAATTTCAACATAAATAATGGTCGAAAGCGTAACCCGCTCTCGGCGGCTGAATATATAAAATAAAAAATTTCCTTTATTGTCTCTCGTAAAACTGACTTTTTATTTCAATAATATATATATACATTCTGTGAGGTTTCGTGTTAAATACAGCTTCAAAAAGCTGCCACCTGCAGTAGCATATTCGTCTGAAACAAATGCTGAATTGATAGCTTTAGCAAAGCCAATTTGTCGTCAGAAAATATTGATTTTTGCAAGAAAAAAAAACATTTGTTGCTGCGTGTCACTCCAGAAAGGCATCTATGGAAAAAATGACAGAAAATGATTTTTACACTTATGCCAGAAAATTTTTATCCCCTCCCCCTTTCGCTCTGCGTTTGCAAGTCAAATGCCCTCATAGTAGTCTCCAGATGATTTTTCGACGAGCACACTTCTGTCGAAAATTCTTTAGACAATTACACCTTCCTTCAATCCTAGAACCTTCGCGTGATCACTGCTAATAAATGAAATTTTCTATGAATGAAAACGAATCGAGCTGGACCAAAAATATATTACCAAAATAGATTCTACGTCAGTGAAGGCTTTTTGGATGTGCGATATAGCATCACTGCAGACGTGGCCAACACTCTCGACTTGTCTATGATTTTAACAGGTTGGTAGTTCTCTACAGTTACCTGCCTCTAAATTCATATATATCATCATCAGTCATGTAGATGGTTCTCATATTCACTGGTAAGTTTCACGCAATATAGAGTACAGTTCACATTCACGTGTTTTTCAGTTAGTATATTGTACTGTTGTATAGAGTCTGTCATCATCCATCTAAGGTGGATGCGCACTTAAACCCTTGCTGAGTTATGGTGTTCCAAATATAACTTTCGACGCAGACCCATTTGGAACAACTTGTAGAATAATTACATATCTTTCAGATCCATTAAGTTTTCAACAGACAATACAAACTCAAAGATATACATTTTCAAAGTTTTGAAACGATTGCTTGCTTCTAAACATAATCCATAGATAGTTTTGTACTTTGCAGTTCTTATCAGCAAACGTTCATAGATCACGAGGGTGCCTCTCCGGATGCTAAATCGTTTCTGGATCGAGACTATGTTCAGTCGATGAATGCTAGCGGGTGTTGAAAAATCCTAGAATGATTTGGTTTTCCAGGCTTTCGTTCTTATGAATTCACATTTCTACTGAATTTTTCAACAAAATCCCGTAGTTCTCCCCAGGTTAGGTTCAAATCTGACTTTTGAGTTTCCACTTGAAACTTTGCACAAATAATCCTCTTCATAGGACTAGTTCATTGCTAAGGTTTCAGCTTTTTTCGTTGCTTCTGTCATAAGGTACGAATATTCTAAAGTTCTGCTGTGAGAGGGTAAGTGGATATGGTTTCACTGTATCTTAACTAGCAGCCACACCCATATCCTGATTTCTTGCTTGATGGGATATTTTTTTTCAGCAAATAATCTTATTATAATATGAGATCAACAATGAAAGCGTTTAGAAATTTATTTTTTTTAGTGCACGAAGAATGTTTTTGAAAAAAGAAAATGTAACCAAATATATCAAGAACAATATTTAAATAAAAGCTTCATATTATCGTACAATGAGATTCTGACAGAATGCTCTATGAGTTCTTTTACAACAATTGCCAATTCTATCGCTTCAAATGATGTTAAACATCTTTTTCTTTGATTTTTATTCTCTACAAGTTTCTGTTTGTTGAGAATTTTATGCCTTGATTCTTCATAGAAAATAAAAATCAAACTATATTCATAAAATAAAAACAAAAATACTCTTAAATATAACATAATGTTTTTTTCTTCAAAAAAAGTCTCAATAAACAGTTGAATGCAATTTCTATACAGCATCGATAGCAATTTATTATCTGCTTCGTTTTGAATACTTTTGATAATTTTTGTTTGTTTGTATATTTCTTTTTCTTTAATTCGATCAAATTACTGAATAAAATCTTGTTCATTATACGATGTTTCGAAAATATTAAATACTTCCTATGTCATTAAAACAGCAATATTTTTACTTATTTTTCAAGGACTGCAAATAATTCATCAATAATGACAGAGTAAACTTAGTTTACCTTAAGACAATCTTGCATAAAATAATAATAAAACTGTCATTGAAGAACAAAACAGATCTAATCATAATCTTCATTTTTTTTCTAATCTATTGAATAACGAAATAAAATCTTCAATATCACCGTTTTGAGAAATTTACTGAAAATGAACGAAAACTCATATTGAAGATACAAAAACGTTTGTATCATCTCGAGATAAACATCTTCCTAGCAACACAAAATACAGATTTTGTTACAACGAAAAACACGCAAAGTATAGAGACCTACTACAGAAATGCTGCACTTCACACTACATTCATTAACAGTAAATGAAATGAAGGAGTCAGAAAAACTGAATTGTATACATTACAAAAATCGTTTGAGTTTTTTTTATTAGTAAAAGAAAAAATAAAAAAATAAAAATACATTCAAATTTTTTTATTTATTATGTTTAATGTGACTTTATT